TACCATACTCAGACTACTTATGTGCTGGGTACTGTACCGTACTGGTAACTTTGCTTTATTGTTTGTAATTAACACTCAAAACACATCTTGCTATAGAGTTGATGCCCACTATACATGTTAGCCCTGTTTTCAAATGGCTGTCTTTTTGTATCAATTACTTCAAATCTTCCAAGGAATAAGATTGCCCCCTTCACTTTATTGTGACTGATCTTTAATCTGCCATTTCCCCTACTCGTGGCATACAATAGACCGATTGCGCCTGCAAAGTCACGTGACCAATAGTGGGTATTAAATATCAACAAACACAGCATCCACCAAAATCAAAGTGTTTCTTAAGTATCATTTACCAAAAATAAAGCCGACGGTAGGTACCATACTCGGACTACTGATGTGCAGGGTACGGTGTACCATACTGTAATTTGGCTATATTGTTTGTAAACTACACTCAAAGCACACGTTGCTATGGAATTGATACCCACTATAGGTCATGTGATTTAGCAGGCACAATTGGTCTTTTACAAGTCGGTTATCCCAAAATGAGGAAGAGTGTAAAGCTTCTTTGATGTACATGTAAGTCATATAGCCTGTGGCTTGTACAGGGGATGTACCCTATATGCATTCCATATTGTACCGGAGATGTGCATGTACAGTATATTCAAGGGTCCATGTAATGATTTTTTTCTTAGACACAAATTTTGTAAATATATACATGTACCCGGTAAATATCATAATTTATAACACACCAAGGCAATCCTCTCGAGTTCGTTTCCATGCACCTGAAAAAAAATTTATAAATGAAGCCTCAAATAGTTAAAAATTTGAAATTGTTGATATTAGGAGTACCCCCCTTCTCACACACACACACCCACACCCAAGTGTGTAAACGCCTTCAATCATAGACTCCCTGTTGTCCCTATTGTTATAGGTCCACGATTTGAATGTGTATACAAACTTACCCACACGGGCAAAGAAGAGAAAGGCTGGTGAGCAACTGTTTCAAGAGGTACTCGAAGACCATACAACCCACTTCTGTAGCAGTGCATGCTCTGTGATTTCCCTTCTATGATCAGAGTTCATTATTGGATGGAAGACGAGATCAAATACCCCGTAATGCACCATTTATTGTTCCCAAGTTGTTTGCACCGGAAGACAACGATCCGGGATCAGGTGCCAATTAATTAGGAATCATCACTCAATTTGTCTTGCCGCATCGCTACATGCACACGTTTGATAAGTTGGTTGCTTACCTTATGTGGTTATCAAGTGATATCTTTGTTGATGGAAGGGATACTAGAGATGAGAGGGGCTTATTGTTCATTATCTTGTCACGTTTTATTAAAAAATCATAAGCAGATGAGCCCAGAGATGATGATGAAGAGGCAATTATTGTTGGTAGCAGGTGCTCAAATGTCATTATCACTCTCAAGTGTTTACAACAGTGTACATGAACATCTACATATTTTCCTACCATGTATCATGTTTTTGGCGGCCATACACCTTGGGACTTTGAACATCTTGAGCTAATGGCCAAAATATGTTTGTGATGACAAGTGAAATAAATTGGGCAAAGTAATAGCGGTGTTGTTGTTGGTAGGATTCCTGAAAATATTAACCAGAATCAAAAAGGGCTAATAATACTTCAATCTGTCAAGGCTTTGTTAAATGACAAAAGGTATGAGAAAAGGGCCGAGCCATGATGAAAAACCATCAGCACAGATGATAACAATTTTCCATTTTACAAAAAATGAATGGTTATTTTAAGTAAAAATGAGGTACACTCTCTAATTTAAAATGCACAGTTGCCAACCAAAGCTTGACTATTGCAGTGGTACATTGTGTACACATAGCTTGAATGTATCTCATGGAAGCCATATGGTCACATGGTGTACTTTTACTAAGGGTGAGAATTTAGGTCTAATTTTGAGAAAGTTTAGAACACTTTCGCACACCATTTAAATGTTTAAATGTCTAGCTAACACTTTACAGAGGCTGCTGCCGCCTTGGTGTTTTCATATGCATAATTTCAAAAATGCACATGGTCCAATCAATGTAGATTGATGTCAGGGAATTTAAAACAAGCAAAGTTTATTGTTTTAGAATCCACTTTTTTCCTCAAAAAGTACATGAATGCCGAAAGGGAAAAAACTTCTAACAGGCATCATTTACAACAAAAAAAGCACCAGATTGCATCAATCATAACACCTCTAAAGGGGGCGGTTCCATTTAAACATTTGGGAAAATCTACAAACGGATTCGGAACATTTTTTATTAAATGCTTAAACGTGTAAAAATCCCACCCTTAAATTTGACGTTAAGGGTCCTGTATAATTTTGTTTTGAAGAAGTTAGAAAGGGTCTATTGTTGTCTTGCTTCCTGCTTCAATTCAGTGGAATTAACAGTCTGCTGCACAGGTTATGTATTGCTGGCATCTTCTTGGAGTTTTAGAGGCTGTTTTTGTTACAGTGAAAGCACAAAATGTTTACTCGCCTTAAATCAGTGATACAAAACTATTGCCCTCTGATGAGAATGCGTTAATGCGTACATGTAACCTCAGTTGATGTAACTGCAGTCTGTATCAGTGTGATGAAACCTGAACATTCCAACCAGTCCATACACACTTGCTACCAGAAAGAAATTAGTAGGACACATTTCTTAAATTTGAACATTCGCTTCACTACTTGCGTTCATGTACTTCATACTGTAAGTAAGTATCAAATGTACACTGTATGCATCTTTTGTGCAAAAGTGCCATCATTGGTCATACATGTACGTGAATTGATCAGCCATTGATTGGTACATGTACTGTCGTGATGTATTGTACACAAACCCTTTTTTGTACAAAACCCGGCCTTCTTTGCACTTTTTAAGTCACTGGAGAATAATGATTATTACAGAGAGCAGCATACATGCTGTTCAGGCATCAGATCCTGTGAAAGTGCGCATCCACACATGTATTTCTCTTTACTTTATCTTTTGACAAGGATCAAATTTTTTTAAGTGAAAGATTATACATGTATGACACTTGTCTCTCCAATTAACCAAATTGGCCCGTCTATATCTTACTGAATTAGAACATAGAGCAAGGAAGTTTCAATGTTTTAGGGACTAAAGCTCTCACATGTACATAACATTTACAAAACAAAGAATTTTGGATAACAATATGCTGAGAAATTTGTGTGAATTTTCTGGCAATTGGAGTTCAAGGCCAGATTTTAAGGAAACTACTGACATCAAGTTTAAGCAGGCTACCTGTACATCAGCCTAGGATAAATGATACCCAATTCACATCAGCCTAATACTGAATGCCAATCCACATCAGCCTGGTACTGAATACCCAATCCACATCAGCCTGGTACTGAATACCCAATCCACATCAGCCTAGTACTGAATACCCAATCCACATCAGCCTGGTACTGAATACCCAATCCACATCAGCCTGGTACTGAATACCCAATCCACATCATCCTTGTACTGAATACCCAATCCACATCAGCCTAGTACTGTGACCCAATCCACATCAGCCAAGTACTGAATACCCAATCCACATCAGCTTGGTACTGTGACCCAATCCACATCAGCCTAGTACTGAATACCCAATCCACATCAGTCTTGTACCGAATTCCCAATCCACATTAGCCTGGTACTGAATACCCAATCCACATGTACACTTGCATCAACCTTGCACTGAATACCCAGTCTACATTGATGTTGATTATAGTAGCCGTGAAATAATTCCAGTTTAGTTGGGCTTTTTTGCAATAAACCTTTTCTAATCACTTTGTATTGCATAGCACTACATGTTCTTCGGAGCACTTTATAAGGTGGCATGAGCATTATCAGCAAAGTGCCTTCCAAAGTGGCCCTGGTGTTAAAATAAAAAAATTTGTACACCTTTTGGACTTTTTAGTCTCTGTGGATTTTTGTAAAACCTGTTTTGAAATGAAACCAGAAATTCATAGACAGATGAAATGACAAACAAGTGATGAAATGTGTTATTTCAATTTTTTTCAAAGCAGACTGTGTAGACAGTGATCTAGAATACTTGCCACCATATCTCATTAAATTTTAAGAATTATGAATCACTGAAAGTCTGTCTCCATTGTCGCTCCTAAAAAGGAATGCCATGAACTGAAGTCTGAGAAAAATGTGTCAGTGCATGTAATGAGCCATTCACATGTCATTGCCACTAACAATGGCACACAGTGACGTCAGTCTCTTGAGATATGTGGATGCCTTCAGGTTGTCAAGGCAACACAACACTTCATCTCCTTTTTCAGTCAGTCTCGGACACTGTGTAGCACAGTAAGTGTAGTACACATTACACCACCTGCCTCTCCCGTTCCTAGCCCTGTCGTCTCATTGTCTCATTGTCATATATGATCAAAGTCGTGAAGGTCAATTTGGGATGTTGTATTACTGGAGCCTGAGATAGTGATTCTGTCAGTCACTGTTGAATCCATTCCACCTGCTCTTCCCTTCCGGTCACACTGTTTAATTTGTACCCTGTATGGTCACTTCACAACTAGTTGTCTTGCAGAGGCATAATAGTTGGCGATACCATTGAGCAAGGAAGAGAGGTGTATGTTGTGATGATCGAAGGTTTTGGGTGTCAGCTTTATCGCTGCCACATTAGAGGAAGACAGAGGCAAAAGATGAGTTTCTTGCTTTCAGTAAGTAATCTCTGTGATTTGAGACACTTCAAGGGCATTGTTCATGAACTTGTACATTTCTTTGTCACAGCCACACTAGAATAGATTGTAACTGAACACATTTCATTGTCTGTTTAATGTTTGGACTGCACATACATGTACATGTGCTATAGTCACATCGTGAGAAGAGGACAGACATGTACATGCAGCATTTCAAAGATTGAGTGGGAAAGCAAGCATGTACCGGTACATGTACGTACATGTGCAGATAAAGAACATGTACAGTACATGTAAATTGTATTGTTAGAAACTCAACTCTTTATTTTGTTTGTACCTGTATACTCACCTCAGGATTCATTGGTCAACCAGGTTGCTTTTGGAAAGGATTTTCTACATACACGTACAGGTAAGTATCAGACAGTGTTCGGGTTGATAGCAAATAGACCCTTTTCTTTTTTTTTTCCTCACAAGTTGTGTATTCGTCATATGTGCATGGCTTTGCATTTTATAGTCTCACTTAACTTTCTTTATTGATTTGGTCTGAGTTGTCTTTAGTTTAAGGTAAATGAAGTGGAAAGAAAAAATATTTTATCACATTGCATTTCAGATTTCAATGGAAGAGAAAGGATTTTTTCTTGTATGTGATATTCAGAACCAGACATCTGAATTATATTTGAAATTGTATTTTCTTTTCAAGTTACAATTTGTCAGTACCACTGAATGTGCCGTTTTGAATTATTTTGTAAAGTTCAAATGAACAGAGCTTACACAACAGAACTTATATAATGCTGCTTCTTATGAACAGAAGTGTCAGAAGAAAGTTTAACGACAACAAATATGCCACACATTTCAAAGATAAAACACTTCACAGATCTTTTGGGAAAAGGTAATATGTTATGCCCAAGTGAGCACAGACATGTGCATAAAACATGGCTCCCTTGGGCATGAATAGATGGCTTGTTGGTTGTCATAAATTTACATAATTGTCAATACAGGCGTATAACCAAAAAAAACCAACTTCATAGACAACTTTTTTAATATTGTGGATGGCATCAGGATGTGTGGAAATCCTCCTTGCTTGCTCACATTTAGGGACATTTCCCTGGACAAGGGTAGCTGCAAACAGCATCGTTGATGATTTAATGCTGATGTATACCATTGCTCTGTCCTGTAGTGGGATGATGAATGATACTGTTTTCACTTTAGGTCAGTCCAGGAGGAATTTTCTGGTACAGTTTATTAGGGCTGTGTTTGCATTTTTGGCTTTTTTAATCATATATGCATTGCATCTTTGTTTTATCAGCTGCATGTCTGCACTTCAAGGTGAATGAGTTAATTTTTTTAAGGAAAGGCAATATGGACTCATTTTTGGTCTGACTGCCTTGATGGTGTTTTTTGGGTTTTTTTCGTCTAGTTACCAATAAACACTGTGTAGGACTTTGTCATCAAGTCACATACCTGGGCAGATTTTTTTCATTCAATTTCGCTGATAAAATCAACATTGCATCATTTTATTGAAACCGTCATAGATTGATTTGACTTGTTCTTTATTTCAAGATTCTTTAAAGGTGACACCTTTCCAGGAGTAAGCCTTTCCTAGCAAAGCGTATTACTCATTGATAGAGGTGACAAACCTTGGAGAGATTAGACAGGAAATCGTCTTGCAGATGTCTACATATGGACCTTAATACAGAAAATGCCTACAGAAAATGACAGTCCTCCCCTTGACTTGGCACAAGAATGAATAGCCACACCTGCACAGTCTCTTGCATCTTGTTTTTCATTTCAGGGCCTTGACGCCTTCTCTAAAATGCCTGCGATAGATTTCCTTTCTCTGTACAACTTCCAGGAGGTCCATGATCTTCAGCAAAACAATCTAAATGGATTATTTTGTGCACGGAGATGCCACCTAATAGGCAAGAGTCAATAAAAAGGCTTTCCAATAGCGCAGTCTAATTCAATCAAAATCAGGGGACATACATGCAAGGCTGGGTCATTCCTCTGCAAGTTTCTGAAAATCCCAGGTGCCCATTAGCATTGCTCCATTGAAGCAGGATTTTTGTTCAGTCAAATATACATGCACTTGTGTGAGATTCAGTTCCAATACTGCCCAGTAGAATTTGTTATGATCTGACTGACCTCTGCCAGGAACAAATCAGAATCATGGAATAAAATATTCATTGTACCTTTATACTTTATTGACAAGGTCATGTGTAAGATCAATGGAACAACAATTTGTGGAAGAACGATAGCGGTAGGTGCAAGTCCATTCTGGCCTGAAACATAACCAGCCACAGTATTTGTACTGGCCTTCACCAAATTCTTTGTTTCATATTGAACATTGTGAACAAAAAATTCTAGGATGGTGTTCATATTTAAAAAGGATATTTTCAAATTTTAAAACATGAAGTGAGTTGGATTTCCCCCATTATATTTTTATTTGTTAATTTATTTAATAATAATGTTAGGCATCTAGATCATAGACAGGCCGTAGACTAGATTTTATTAAGATTGGTATACATGGTTTACATGAAAAAATGAATACAAATTTGAATATGAAACAAAAATCCTAAATTATATGTGAGTTACAAGTGGTCTAGAGCCCTTTGGGTAATTTGATGGAGGATGCTTGGTATACCACTGGGTCAAAGTCTCTACTCAACAAAACTGAGGAAAGACTAAGTGAGACACCCATCTTAAGAGACTCAGTATGTCAACAGATTTGAAAAGGCTGATAGATATATACAAAGTACCACCTAAACCTAACAAATTCACAAGCCAACAATTCGCGCATATTCAACTCTTTCACCATGGGTTTAAAAGCCTAGCTTGTGTATGATTGTTGAAGCACTGTACCTGAGATATTTGACAACCTTTGCAAGACATAATTCTATGATGACTAGAACTTTGAAGACATTATGGGTAAATAAAACTTGGGGATTTTCACCTTAGTTTGTGGAATCTGTAATACTGTAGATGGACTACTGATGTAACAGAAGTACTGACCTACTAGTAATCCTATAATCAGTGACATTTTATTTGAAAGGCTTCAGTCACTTTGGCCACTAACAGCATCTGAACCAAACACAGCATTAAGTCTCAACAAGGATTTACAATCTTAATATACTATATTTTGTAACAAGATTATGTCAGGGCAGTCCCATTATAGAAATGTCATTCACTGCATAGTATGCTATTTTTGTCTTTCTAAATAGCACTTAAACTTTGATAAAGTAACGGTGGAATTTTGAAAACCTATGAAGAAGCTCTCTCTCCACAGTGTCACATGTGTGCCTTGATGCCAATATATTAAGCTTCCTGTAATTTCATTAAAGGAAATGAAATTAAAGACTTCAAGTTGGAGTCGATTATCCAAAAATTGACTACTTTTAGAGGTAAAATACATGTATGTCCTTCTTTTATTAATTACATTTTCCCTGCATTTTATTGGGAAACAACCCTTAAAAGCTACAAAGAATAGCCCTACAGCTGTGTGCATGAACAGTACTTTCAACTAACAAACTTTCCTTTTGTTACTTTACTTGGAAAATGATGAAATAACAAAAGATATTCTGGAACTTTTTGTAACTTACAATGGTGTATCTTAAACGATGGATAAAGGGTGCAACATCCTAAATCTGAAAAAAATGACTTCCAGATGTACATGTAGATTTCTGATATTTCAGCCACTACTACCAAATAACTTAGATAACACGTCATTTGCAAAAGCATTAACATTTGAAAAAAGCATTAAGTCAGCAGTTGTTCCAGGAAATTGTTTGAATCTAATGAAATCTGTTGAATTCTTTGGAAGGCTATGCATTGTACATGTACCTCATGCTAAGAAAAGTTTATGTACTGTAAGCTCAGTGTTGCAAGATTTGCCAAGAATTATATTGTACGTATATCGTTTATAACAGGAGGTGTCCCCTTGAATGCATTTTTTATTCTATTCTGTCATCATTTCACGCTGCCTTGGTGTTTATATAAATCATCCATCTTATTTGATTAACAGAGGTTTGGAATTCATAATGTTATTTTTATCACAGAAGTACATGTATGTCAGTCACTGAATTACAAGAGACCCCATTGGCCTGTGCTTTCAACATCAAAACTTAAAACCTTTGATATTGGGTGTAGATACTGTCATATCAGTTTAGCTTTTAGTTGTAATTGTAATGACAGGATAGCTTACATTGTCAACAGCCTTTCAGTTTATGGCAATTCAGCTGTATATTTCATGTCCATCTATATATAGATTATATGGCCTCAGAATTGCCATTTGAGAAAGATTCTAGAATTGAAACCTCCAACCCTTTATTTCTTTTGAATAGAACATTTTTTAGGTTAATGTAGTCAGTCATGCCATGATCCCTACCAAAGAGTTAACCATGCCCTAAAAGTCAGGCAGTTTAGTCCTCAAGGATTTAAACAAAGCAGGCACAAATAAGGGAAACCAGTTTCAGAATTTTTACAATCACAATTAATAACTTATTTAAACAAACACAAAAGGTGCAAGCAAGACTTTCAGAATATTAAGAATGAAAGAATTACTATTATGGGTTTCCGGTTTGAGTCCAATTTTTTGTGGTGGGCCTACATGTAGAAGTGACCAATTGAATCTGACAAAATATTCAGATTTCTGTTCTTGCTTGACGTTCTGGGTTATTTCGGTGGTCTAAGATGACTCCAGGTGATCAGTGAGAGAAAAGGGAGAAAGATGGGGCTCCTGGAATGGGTCCTCCCATTAGAAAATCAAGATGGCCGCATGCGGTTCTCAGTGAACTTACGCACATTCCATCCCACCCATTAAAATGATTTCAAGATTGGAAGACTGTATCTGAGTACCCAACAAGGTCACTTCACCAGACTATGCTATTCTGGTACCAAAATATGCCTCCGTCTACATTTATAACAGAGGAACATCAAAATGACAGATAGTGGACTTCCAGTCTCTGTTCCGAGGAGCATGTCCTTAAGGGCAAAGTTCCCCGAACAGCCTCGGCAATGAGCATTATTTTGGAAGCTCACAACTCGATCTTTTTCATTTTAATGTTGATGCTCAGTCATTCCAAAGTTAGATGTTCTTTAAGCTATATTTTCTTTATATATAAAACAATTATAAGTCCATTGCCACAAAAATAAAATGTTAATAAATTCAATGATAGATAAAATTATTGAATTGATTCATCATCTTATCAGCAAGCAGTTTGCAGCACCAACACCTGCACTCCCCATCCTCAACTAACCCAGCAATTGCAAGGTACACATGTGAGACCTTGGATTAATGTGTGATGAAGTCATTTTCGACTGCTTCTTTCAGAGAAGGACAAGATGAAACCTAAGCAATAACCTGTGGTGATCTTATACACAAACCATTAAGAAATCAAATCAAAATGCCAAGAAAGCCTTGAATTAGCATTCAGGCATAAAGGGACTGATTCTTGCTTGCATTGCTTAGCAAGGCTTTTGTCATCAGTCACTTTCATTCAAGCATATGCATGTACATGATCCACAACAGTGTCAGCAGATTTTTTAATAAGGTCTTTCTCTCTTTTTCTGGCAGGTTTTGATGAACTCTACCACTTCAGTCTAAACAGCAGCCATCATTAGCTATCCACTCCATACTCTGTTATTCACCCATCTGTCAAAAGAAGTCCACTTCACTACAGAGGGTTACCAATAGCAGGGTCAGTCACACTTTTCAGTGTCCCCATGACAACCAATTGAAGGCTTGAGGACGAGCATTGCCTTTTCAGTCAGTAGTGTTTATGATGATGGCCACAGAGGATAACTCCACTACAGTACTTCCCCCTCCTCCAAACAGTAAGCTCAGTTGTCTAAGCATGTTCATTCTTGACGTCTTTTGGTTTTCTGTTTTGTTTTTAATTTGTGCAAAAATGAAATGGTAGAAGATATTCCACAGCTAATTGCTTTTTGGGAAGTGAAATTCTTTTGTGTGTTAATTCTTTTAAGTGTTAAGCATCGACACAGAGAGGCAGTCAGTAGTAACCCTACTTATTTTGCCTAGTACTTTGATGACACTATGTAGTTTAGATCCTAAAACATGGTGACATAATGCCTAGGTTTCCTGCCCCTTCACATTTTTTGTGTTTGGAGTGTGGTTTGTTGTTGTTAATTGGGTTTTTGGGCTGTTGAGATTTTGCGTGCATGTGTGTTTTTGTTTTTTTTTCCATTTTGGAATTTTCTCAGAAAGTTTAACCACATAAATTCTCATTGCCTGGTTTTTATTAATGATTTCGGGACTATGAGCTGTCTTAAATTTAGACTGCTAAATTCTTCAGTCACTGTGAAGAATGCTTGAGGTTTCTTTCTCCAGAACCGTAATGCAATAAAAAAAAGCATAAACCATCAACATGGCAAGTACAAAATTCTGCCTTAGGTCAAGGGTTAGATTTCACCCCACGTCATCCAAATTCTTAAAGGATATAAATTTCAGACGATCATGTGGAGAAAAAACATGCCACTGTAGTATTCTTGTGATTATGTGTGTAACATTGAAGCATCCAGGAACGTTATTAATCAGTCGTCAACTATGTGGGACTGTTTGCTGAATGAGTATTGAACTAATTGACTTATTATTCCAATCAGTTAAATAGTTGAGTCCATATCCAAGTCCAACATATTCAGATAGGAATATAATATCAAATCAGTGCTCTGAAATATGTGATTGCTGAGCTTTCAGTAACCGAGTACCTTCTTCAGGGCAAGCCGATTCAGTTCTGAATGAACGCAGAAAAATTCACGTTCATTCCCCCTGGATGCAGCGTTCCAAGTTCAAAAATGGCGCGCTGCTCCAGTTCCTTACGCTGTACATCAGATAACGCTTTTCGCAAGATGCAGATGCTTATGTCGACCGAGGGCAGCGCGCAAAAGTGCTTCGCAACAGTGAGACCTGATGTTTGTTGGCGCACACTGTGCAAGTGTTCCGCAAAGCGGTCACCAAGGCGACGCTTGGTCTCTCCGATGTACAGTTTACCACAGCGACAACATGTAATGCGATAAACCACATTACTAGTAATGCATGTATGATCCCCACATATTCTGTAGCTACGGGCTGTTAACTATGTAGGGGTAGGTGTTACATCTAGGGCACTGACAAGGGGAATTGCTGTCTGCTTTTGACGGCAAGACGGAATCCAACCGGGAACTGAAGAAGGTACTCAGTTACCGAAAGCTCGGCAATCATATATTTCAGAGCACTGATTTGATATTATATTCTTGTCGATATTCTGAATACGGTGCTACGCAGCCCTTCCATATTCAAATAGGAGTTGGTACAGAACAAATCAAACTTGAAAAACTTGGCAATACATTTGGAATACAAGTGGTTTTTGTTATGGTTTGGAATCTGAGTGTTTGTGTTAAGGGTTCGTGTATGCCGGAATTGTCGAAGTATTTGTAAAAGGACTCAGACTTGAATCTGATTTTGACTTTTTTGGCAGATTTATGTACACACAAATGCTTGCAGTTATTCTTGTTTGAGTAACTCAGCCTAACCTGCCTTGATACTTTGTCCTGATGTATACTACTAGTAACTCATTCCATTTTTAAACATTTAGGGAACTCATCAGGAAAGGATTCGCAATGCTGAATTCAATGCCTTTGAAATTGATGTCTTAAAACCGAATTAACACCCTTTCAGACTAGACAACTTATCCGGTATCATGGAATGGGAAGGTTAACGTAAGCATAAAGAAGATATAGCCAGATATTAGAGCTTAACTGAAAATTCCATCAATTCAGCTCACAAGTGGCTGCTTAATTTAACAGGCCAACAGATATGATTAATTAAACTTTAAATGCTAGAGATTGTCTTAAGCTGTTTCAGTGTTTGGACATTGAGAGGTGATATAATGACAAATCTCCTAGATGGCTGGGCAGTTGCATGTACATGTATATGTACATGAAAGAAGGTGAGATCTTTACAGGTATGTCCAAAATGGTGTGTTGAAGTTTAAACCACAAGAAGTGTCAAAAGAATGAATAATGACTGTTGGCTCTGTTTGTGTTACAGGGAATGGAGCTACAGGACAGCCAACAAGTCAAGATCAAGCCACTATACCTGTGGCTGCATCAGCTGCTAGTCTGGTTCTTGTCTTGCTAGCAATTGTACTCTGGTACTTCTTGGTGAGAGGCCAGTAAGTAGAAGTGACTATTACCTAGTGGGACTGAATGGGGTTGAGATGTTATGGGTGCGTGGGGGGGGTTCATGTAAGCTGTACTTTTCTGTCTCAGAAATGCTGATATCACGTTGATCTTAAAGCATTTGGCAGTTTTTAGCCTACCTGAATGGGCCCAGGAAATGCCATGGGTGGTCTAGTCTGCCCAATTCTGGATCCATCAAGACTTTGTCAGACCAAGGGAGGTTTGGATCAAGAAGAGTCCAATATCAAATTGCAGTAGAATCCAAAAAAATTCAAGGCTACATTTGATGCAACGATATTTGCGGAGTGTAAGTCCTAGCTCATAAACACATTTTGTTACACTATGAGGTGATGTTTTTTCTTTGTAGGCTGCGTAAGAAGCATTATGAACACAAACGTACCAGCAGTCATCACAGTCATCAAAGTCACCAAGGTAGCCTCAGAGACTGTAATAGCAGACATGGTAGCTTAGCCTCTCGTTGCCATGGTACCCCACGAGCCTCACCTCACAACCACCGCAAATCTGCCAATGGCTCTCCACGTTCGAAAAGGAGTTCTCGTTGCACTTGTCAGTATGAAGCGTGCACCTGTCCATCAGTCCGATCTTCAGATTCACCTCTTCTCATGCACTCTCCCAAGAGTAATCGAAGTTCGGTAACTGAGTGCACTGGAACGTCGCCATTTTGTCCCCATTCCAGAAAATTCAGGTTGCACAAGTTTGACATTCACATGCGTGACTCAATGGACTCAGATTACCATCCTGATGATGAAAACATGCCGGGACCATCCAATTCAAACCAGAACAGTAAAGCCTGCACTTGTAGCTCAGACGTCATTGTCAATATGGATGCTTTAGTTAGCTCCAGTGGTTCCCAAGTGAATGTTGAAACCAGTGATGGCAGGCAACCAGTGAACTGTGACGGTGCTGCTGTTTGTTCACGTATAAAGCCAATTAGCCAGGAAGAGTTTGCTAAACATTGCACGTGTCGTGTTATTCGTAATCCTCTCGGTAACGGAAGAAATTCCAAACGGCAAAGCCTCAACCACAGTGCTCCAGCTCTGATTGGTTCTAGTAGTGACAGTGACTTCCATGCTGCTGAAGCATTGTGATCTCTCTGGGATTTGTAATAGCTCATTCAATTGTAAACCAAGAAAGAATTTTTTCCAAGATGTACATGTAGTCATTTCAGCTATTGTTATTTAGCATTAGTGATCTGCCTACATTGCCATGGCAACTTTGGACTAACTGACCTTTGAGTAAGCAAGTAGAATCCGGATTGGAGCTGCTCAGCCTTACATTACTTTAACTTAAAGTTGTCCTGCACCAATTTTATGAAAGGTGACATTCCATCACCTTTTATCATGTCCCTTGTACCTTTTGTCTTTTGTAATATACTATTGCAAGAGATATGTATTTGTCTTTCCTTAAGAAAAACATGTATTTGGAAAGGAATACTTCACTATGTACATGTGTATATAAGAGTCATTGATCTGAGATGTAGTTGCTGTAATTATTTTGACAAATTGCAATCTTTCAAAAAACAATTTTTTCAGCTAATTTCAGATGATTGAAGATTATCAAGGTAAAAAAGTGTTATTGCTACCATTGGGCAGGTAGTGAACTTGTGTCTGAGCACATAGTGTCAATAGAGGGCACTGTTACCTTCCAACACAAACATTTAATGAGACCTTGCAGTGGTTTCTTGCTACATGCTGCATATCCATAATCAATATTGACTAACTTTAGAACAGAGCCACTCTAGATCTCTGACAGAAAGTGGTCAACTGTACTGCTTTCAGACAGCATCTTTCCCTAGTTTGGCAACATCATACAGATATACAGCTTACTTGGAAGTGTGGTCATCATGTGTATGTGTCAAATAACACGAGAAGAAGCTGGCAAGTAGACATTGGCTTCATAAGATCTATGGAGATATTAGAAATGAATTTGTAGGCTTTTAGTCATGATGATTCATTGTCGTTTTACCTTGTATCATAAAGGTTGTAAGAGTTCAAGCTTTGCAGAATGTGGACTGTCAACAACTTGTTGAAGTGTAGTTTCTGTTCTATGGTCTGGTTGAATCAAAGGAAATTAGCATTTCTTGCAGTGATCATTGTCAGAAAATGTAGCAATTTATCAGCTTTTATAGTTGAGATCAGGTTTTAAAGGGCAAGACAAGTAAACGTTACCAGATTAAGTGTAACATACTAGAACAAACTGTAACAAATGCTGCCAAGTACATGTACATTTTTGGGTCTTCATATAAATATTGACATTGTTGTAATGAGCAGAAATCACTGAATACTCAGTCATTGCCAATTCCTACAAAGAATTTGAAATTTTAAAAACTGTAGATTTTGTGTTGTTGTTTATCACATAATTTTAATGGCAAAATAAATATCTTTGCACAGTTTTCAAAATTTACTTATATTTGTCAAAATTTGGTGTCTTTTACATCTCAGTTTCAATTTTAAGGAAATACCTTTTTATATTTGTCATTAAAAGTATATTTGTTGTTTTTGAAGAGAATTGTCTTATTTGTTTCCATCTTCAGCTGTGGAATTTGAACTCAGAATGTGATTTTTTGTACTGAAATTAATCTGAAAAGTATATTACTCTATTATTTATTAAACACTGTCAAGTTACGCGTGCAGAATCAAATAAGCTATACGTTCTAGAGCTGCTAAACGCACAAATTTGCTGGCTGCAGAAATCATTCAGTCTGGCAGACTGAGAATATTTCTGGATACTATTCTCAAAATAAAGATTGACTACCAAAGTGTGATGAATATCTGCTTGGATATAAGAAATAGGGCCTAGCATCTCGAAAATGGGACCAAAATGATGGGTGCCTTCATGAAAAAAAGGAAGTAAATAGGGACTAAAAACTCCCATTGTGTTCATCTTTTACCTAAGTTTGATCTACCTGCACAATTGAAGTTAATTAGAAAGCTGTGAACTCTACCATAGATGTTTGTGGATACAAAATTATGGTCAAATTAAGAGCATTTCATTTTGTCATTTGACTTATGGCTTTGTACTGATCTCTAATTTGTGCATTTGTGATGTTTTACCTACAGTACATAAAAATGGCAACAAAGGGAAGTCAAAAGATAAATGTCAGAAGTTGTTAATGTGAAATTCAGGGTAAGAGACACTGTAACAAATTGTCTGTGTACACAGACTGGAAATGATACGGTTATTTGTGTACACCTTCACTTCCAATAATCATTTCATGTCTTTCTTGATTGCCCAGAATATTAGCTTATGGAGTATGCACTGTCTTGTTCTCACTGGAATGAAATGAATCGCTTCATCATAATGTTCAAATTATGTAACTGCTTTGTACATCACACGCACAGACTTCACACAAACAGTGTATACGCTTCTGTAATATATTGCACATTAGTAAAGTTTGAACTTTATGGAAAGCACTTAAAACATGGTTGGAACTGGAAAGGTTTGAGTCAGGGCAGGTGAAGGAAGAAGTGGATCAGACATTCTTTGATGGGACCTCTTTCATCAGGTGGTTAATAGTGTATAAAGTAACAGTTTTGAAATTCATGTAATGGCAATGGACATTTCATTCCAGCAAACTATTTTAGGGAGTGAAAAAAAACACACAAAATGGGCTTTCTCTCGATGTTCATCATGCTGTGTCATTGGGCAGCGACCTATTGTTTGTGGCAAAGTATGATCTCAAAACAGTGTCATTGATCAAGAATTGATCACAGAGTATTTGTAAAAGGCTGTTATACAGATTTAAAGATTAAAGAGAATGACTATAGTGCTGCACAACTATTGCACCTCTGTTTGTGCGTTACGATTTACTGTATTTTCAGTCAGAACACTAGAGCCAGTTGAAAGTTTTTGTTGCCCTTACTGTTTTGCGGTCTTCCATCCCGCATCTGTTTGAGATCAAGATTACTTCTGGTTTTACCTACAAATTTTAAATTTAAAAGTCCCATATTAATATGGAACTTAATAATAAAATAATGAAATGTTGAGTCTTGATTTTTCCCTTCACCGACAGACCTTGTTTAGCTTGTGGTACTGAATGTTTGTTTCACTGATTGAGAACTATCCCCTGCATTTCCAAATAGATTCTCACACTCGTAGTTCACCGTCGATTGTACCCCTTGTCATTATGCGTATAACCTCGCCGTGGGATTGTTTCCCCACTTACATGTAGTTTGATAATGGCTTATTGTAGCCATTTTTATCGTCTACCTACTTTGTCATTTCTGTCGGGATCTTTCTTCCACTTTCTCACTTCAGGTGGGAATCAACTCTTGGTCGTTAAATTCGGTGTTGGATGAAACCCTCGAATACCATTAAGACCAAACTGATACTCTTACAGGGCTCGTTTTGAATGGATTTTGCGTCCATATTTTTTCTGCATTTTCTTCTCAGTGGTTGCTTTAAAAAGGGCGTTTAGGAAGCGGTACCCTTCCATAGGCATTGTACATCCTCAAATAAAAAGAATTATAGATAGCATTCTCCATTTTGAATTGATTCAAGAAGATTATTTTTATACAGTGTATTGTATTTAATAGTACAAATAAATCTTGAAATTCGTGACTATTCGTGTTTCAATTTCAGTCATTAATTGAAGTGTGTGGCCCCAAGCGTGTAAATCTGCGCGCATCGAGTAGGCCCATCCGGTTCGTAAGTTTACTTCGTTACGAAGGCAGACGCGCCACGATTTGCAGGCTCCTATTGGACGATCGCTGAAGTTGCGCATTAACTTCCGTTCCCATATAAACGGCGATCAATGCATGTAACTCTATGTGAAGTGCATGTGCAGTGGGCGTGGTTTAAACCACTGATCCCATTATCAGTGGTTTAAACTGACGTCACACTTACGAACCGGATACAGTACGTTTCGCTAGTATGACCCATGAGACACAACATTGATCAGAGATGGAGGGAGGGTATTTTGAGATTTGGCTGGGATAGTTGCAAACCACACGACTCCATTTTTCGCTGTCCCCTCAACCACACTGAAGGTCACCTAATCATCTTATGAGCAAAATATATCGTCCGAGGGCGCCCTGTATCGGCGGTATTATCTTTATTTTTGGCGGTTTATTGAGGCCAAACAGCTATGCATTTAAAACCACATGTTTAAATTATTTTTTAAAGACTGCATTTTGAAAATACAGTTACGGTTTTGCTAGTAGGGCGCCTTCCAATCCGACTTGGAATACAGGTTGGCGTATGAAAACATTTTCATTACAGCACATTAATTTAAAAGGGCTTATCAGTGCATAAAACCGACATTTGATTGAGAACTGAGCTGTTTAACTATGGGCTGAGCTTACCCATTGTCTTTATAATCAGGCTCATTTTCGGTAAAATGCACCAATTGCTGGGCAGGATATCTGGCCGAGATGAAAGAAGCAAACCTGGCTAAGGCCGACTCTTGACTTGAAAATCAGGAGGACTCCGTTTCAATGAATGTATTAGGCCCACCTGCTGATTTTTATCAAATGCATTTCAAGCAGGAATGTAAGCAACATGTTTGTGAGTGATGGTAAGGATAATTTCTGAAGCTAGGTGGAAACTACAATATGTGCACATGTACACTTACAGTGTAGGTGGCAAAAGTATGGCATATCTGCCGTCGCCCGTCGTGCGTCGCATTTTGCTTTTTGTTGTGTCCCAATTCTGCCATTTACCAGTTCCAAACATGCCATTTTCCGTCGTGCGTCGCGCGTCGCCCGTCGCGCGTCGCCCGTCGCGCGTCGCGCGTCGCCCGTCGCGCGTCGCCCGTGTTTTTTTGTGGCACGATTGCGCAGTGGTATTTTTAACTTTGACCCTTGATCGTTTCACATGTACATGTCCTTGTTCGATCGATCCACCATGCCTGACTCTCATTTTAGCAATAGAACTAGAAGATGTACATGTATTCGTTTTTACAGNCGGTTAAGAAACGTTTATATGAAATAATACCATTTTGGTTACCTAAATACATTAACAAAATAATAAATTTTGTTAGGGTAGATTGTTTTTCTCGATAACTTAGTTACTCTAGACGTAACTTTACTCGTTAACAGCCTGACTTTAGGTCTATAGCCAGGGTAATATTTCTGTCTGTCCCTGCACGATATCCCACAGAACGGAATGTAAATAATAGATTATTTACAATATTTGATTCCTTTAATAGTTTTCATAAGAGACGAACTGATTCAACATTATTTCGAGGTCGGGTATACCTATGATGAAATCTTCTGTATACTCCAAATTAGACATGACTTTAGTTGCAGGTTGGCTCACAGAAGTCTTTTAAACAGTAACGTTACTTGTTAGCCCCATAAATAATGCTGATGTGCTGGAAAACCTGTTCTCATTGGTCTATCCACCATGGCATACACACCCACAAAAACCAACCCGTCTTTTTTTCTGAAACTTAAACCAAGTGTTAATTGCCCCTTAACAATACATTTAATAAACAGTTTGTTATCCACAACACGTCTAGTATTTCTGGATTTCAAGGTGGAATTGAGAGGACAAGATGGAATATCTGTATCGGTTGGCAGATTTCTTTCTGGAATTTGATGAAAACAAGTCAGCACATTTTTACAGTATGCAAATTAGAATAACACTGTGGATAAGTTGGCCGGAACTTTTTTGCTGAAAATGTTTTTCCCCAAAAAAAACTTGGTTGAATTCTCAGAGAGGTGATATTTTCTTGTCAAGGGGCAGGGGTAGTCTAGCATTATTGGATTTAATTATGTGACTAGTATATGCTTTGCAGGTGGGATTTGTACTTGCCTTATTCGGAAAAGATCTTTAGAAGTGAATGGAATTGTCATTTCTTAAACCCCGGATTTTGCAGGTCCTATGCAACCCATTTGATGGGCGACGCACGACGGGC